CTGGGAAATAGGTACAGTAAAAAGGAAACATAAACATGTTTTGTTGTGCATGTGGCTCATATAGAGTGGAACACAGATCGTGGATCAAATGAGCCGATGCCGGTGTGGAGCGGAGTGGAGTGAGAAGAGCGGAACGGAGCGACGACATTGGCCTTGTGCGGGGTTAATTCACTGTGTGGTTGTTAGGGACGCTGAATGGGTTGAGGGTGTTGCCCCCCGCGGTACGGTACAGGGATATTTTCTGTACGGGCCTTACAGTCTTATATGGGCCCAGGCCAAGGTTAGTATAAATAATATGTTGTAACCATATTTTTCACTACTGAATAAAGAAATCTCCGCTTCACTCTCGTGGACGTAGGCACACTACCGAACCACGTAAAATTCTTGCGTTGATTTTCGTTTTCATCTCTTTAATATTGCGCATAAAATCCAACAACTGGTATTAGAGCCACGTTCAGACGGCGAGTTCTTCGATTGCAAAATTTGATGTGATGAAGTTTGACGGATCTGGGAACTTCGGATTATGGTAGCGAAAGGTGAAGGATTTGTTGGCGCAGCAAGGGATGGTGAAGGCACTATCTAGGAAGAAACTAGAGGGTACGTCAGATGCCGATTGGGAAGAGCTCGAGGAGCGATCAGTTGGTACAATTCGGCTTTCTTTGGCGGACGAAATCATGTATCACGTCATGGACGTTAAGTCTCCGGCGGAGGTTTGGGAGAAATTGGAGAGTCGTTATATGTCAAAGTCTCTCACGAACAAGCTGCATCTGAAGCAGCGGCTGTACGGGCTGAAGATGTTGGAGGGTTTGGATTTGATTCAACACACCAATGTGTTCAATCGAATCATTAGCGATCTATTGCGACTTGAAATCAAGTTTGATGATGAAGACAAGGTAATGATTTTGTTGTGCTCACTTCCTCCTTCATACGATCATTTGGTGACCACGTTGACGTGGGATAAAGAGACTCTTGAATTGGAGGAAGTCATATCAGCTCTATTAGTCTACAACCAGCGAAAACTGCATGCTGGTGAAACTTCATATGGTGAAAGGTTGATCGTAAAGGGCTACCAGGATCGTGGGAGAAGGAAGGACATGGGTGTTTATTTTAGAGGGAACACAAGATCAAAATCTAGGAATCAAAATAAGAAAAACATCAAGTACTACAAATGCTACAGATGGGCCACTTTAAGAGAGACTGTCCCAATAAGAAGCAGAGTGATGAGAGGAAAGGTGATAGGTCCTCAAACTCAGCTAGTGTTGTAGAAGGAGATTCGAATTCTAGAGATGGAGACATGTTATCAGTCTCTGCAGGTAATTCTGTAAAATTAAATGACTGTTGGGTACTTGATTCAGCCTGTTCATATCACATGTATCCTCATCGGGATTGGTTTCATTTATATCGTTCTAGTAATTTTGGATCTGTTCTGATGGGTAATGATGCATCTTATAAGGTCATTGGAATGGGGTCCATAAAATTTAAAATATTCGATGGTGTGGTGAGGACCTTGAAAAATGTTAGGCATATACCTGAGTTGAAAAAGAATATAATTTCTTTAGGCACTTTAGACACAAATGATTACTCTTATAAGTCAGAGCGTCGGGCTCTAACAGTGAAGAAAGGGGCTATGATTGTGATGAAAGGTCAGAAATTAGTTGGAAATATCTACAAACTACTCAAGGGATACAGCTGTAGGTGGAGTTGCTACAGCAGAATCTGAGTCAGATGACACTCTTTTATGGCATATGCGACTGGGGCATATAGGAGAACGTGGCATGGTTGAGCTTCACAAGAGAAATTTGTTGAATGGGGTAAAATCATGCAAGTTAAATTTCTGTAAATTCTGTGTACTTGGAAAACAGTCTAGAGTACAGTTTAAGATGGGAAAGCATAAGACAGAGGGCATTCTTGATTACGTGCACTCAGATGTTTGGGGACCAGTGAGGAAGTTGTCCAAATGTGGATCTCAGTATTTTATTACTTTTATTGATGACTTCTCTAGGAAGGTTTGGGTATATTTCATGAAGCACAAGTCTAAAGCCTTTGCCAAGTTTAAATTACGGAAAGCAGAAGTAGAAAACGAGATGGGCAGAAAAATTAAGTATCTGAGGACAGATAACGATACAGAGTATACAGATTCACAGTTTCTGAAATTTTGTGAGGAGCATGGTGTTCAGCGGCACTATACAGCTCGCAAGACACCGCAACAGAATGATGTAGCGGAAAGGATGAAACAGAATAATTGCAAAATGGGCAAGATGTTTGAGATTGAATGCAGGGCTCTCAAAGAGTTTTTGGGCAGAAGCAGTGAACATGGCATGTTATGTCGTAAACAGATCACCACAAGCAGCACTAGATGGTAAAGTTGTAGAGGAAGTTTGGACAGACAATGAAGTTGATTATTCTGAATTGAAAGTATTTGGTTGTCCGGCTTATGTGCATGTATCTAGTGATCAGCGATCTAAACTTGATCCGAAATCAAGAAAATGCATTTTTCTGGGCTATGTAAAAGGTGTAAAGGGATACAAGTTTTGAGATCCAGAGGTAAGGAAGATGGTGATAAGTAGGGATGCAGTATTTGATAAAGCATTCATGCTTAAAACTTCTACAGATAAAGTGACGATCAATTCAGACGAGGGCAGAGGTAAGAGCCAAGTGGTGCAAGTAGAGCTAGACAATGTTAACACAGAAATTAATGCTCATAGAGCAGATAGTTTTGGGTTAGAGGTGGAGTAGTATCATAGTGTTGCCTTAAATAGACCACGTCGCACTATTAAGCCACCAGCGAAGTATGGATTCGAGGATTCGGTTTCTTATGCACTCATTACTAGCAATAGCGATCCTATGACTTTTCAGGATGCCATTAGTAGTCAGGAGAAAGTTAAATGGATAGAGGCTACGGCGGAGGAAATTGAGTCACTACATAAAAATGATACTTGGGATTTTGTAGAGCTTCCAGAGGGGAAGAAACAGATAGGTTGTAAGTGGGTGTATAGAAAGAAAGAAGCAATGTCAGAAAAGGAAGAAGAAAGATACAAGGCTCGATAAGCAGCAAAGGGATACTCACAGAGGAAGGGAGTAGATTATGATGAAATTTTCTCCCCAGTCGTCAGACACGCCTCCATCAGGATGGTTTTGGCAATGGTGGCAAATTTTGATTTGGAGTTGGAGCAGCTGGATGTGAAGACTGCTTTTCTTCATGGTGATTTGGAGCAACAGATTTTCATGGAGTAGCCAGAAGGGTTCTTTGAACCAGGAACAGAGAATCTTGTGTGTAAACTGAAAAAGTCTTTATACGAGCTTAAGCAGTCTCCACGGCAATGGTACAAGAAGTTCGACTCTCATATGATTCCGATTAGTTACAGTCATTGTGAGTATGATTGTTGCGTTTACTATAGAGTTCTTGAGGATAACTCATATAATTTCTTGATGTTGTATGTGGACGACATGCTAATTGCTGCTAAGAACATGGATGAGGCAGACAAATTGAAATCTTTGTTGAGCAGTAAGTTTGATATGAAAGATTTGGGACCTGCTAAGAAAATTCTTGGCATGTAGATCAATAGAGATAGGAAAGCCAGAAAATTATGGGTGTCTCATAAAAATTATTTGAAGAAAGTGTTAGAGATGTTTAGCATGTCAGATGCAAAATCAGTTGCTATACCACTAACAAATCACTTCAGATTGTCTAATAATCAGTGCCCAAAGAGCGAAAAAGAAGTTACAGAGATGTCAAATGTATTTTATGCAAGCGTAGTTGGATGTTTGATGTATGCAATGGTGTGTACCAGACCAGATTTAGCACATGCAGCCAGTGTGGTTAGTAAGTATATGGCTAATCTTGGTAGAGAGTATTGGAGAGCTGTAAAGTGGATTTTCAGGTATTTGAAATGTACAATGAAGTGCGAATCATGTTTGAGAGACAACATGGTGATATTTCAGTTCAAGGATATGTAGATGCAGATTATGCAGGGGACTTGGATGACAAAAGGTCCCATACAGGTTATATTTTCACACTCGCAGGTGGGCCCATAAGTTGGAGATCAATGGTGCAATCACTTGTTACATTATCTACAACTGAAGTAGAGTACATGGCGGCAACTGAGGCAGCCAAGGAATTATTGTGGTTGAAAGGGCTTGTCAGGGAACTTGGGATCAAGCAAGATGGAATGAAACTGTACTGTGATAGTCAGAGCGCCATCTTCCTAACTAAGAATCGGATTTATCATGCAAGAACCAAGCACATTGATGTGAGATTTCATAAGATAAGAGAGTTGATTATTTCAGGAGAGCTATTGTTAGAGAAGGTGCATACCTCAGAGAATGCAGCAGACATGATGACAAAGCCAATCACAATGGATAGGTTCAAGCACTGCTTGAATTTGATTAACATCTTTAGGTGTTAGAGAGAATGTGTCCCAACCCATTGGTCCTAGATGGTGTGATTTTTTTCCAAGTTATGTTTTTTTCTCCTAAGGGGTGAATATTCGTCAAGGTGGAGATTGTTGTGCATGTGGTTCATATAGAGTGAAACACAGGTCGTGGATCAAATGGGTCGATGCCGACGCGGAGCGGAGTGGAGTGAGAGAAGCGGAGCGACGACATCGGCCTTGCGCGAGTTTAATTCACTGTGTGGTTGTTAGGGACGCTGAATGGGTTGAGGGTGCGGGAACAACGGCCCCGTGGTATGGTACATGGGTATTTTCTGTACGGGCCTTAAAGTCTTATATGGGTCCAGGCTAGGGTTAGTATAAATAATATATTATAATCCTATTTTTTACTACTGAATAAAGAAATCTCTGCTTTGCTCTCGTTGACGTAGGCACACCGCTAAATCACGTAAAATTCTTGTGTTGATTTTCGTTTTCATCTCTTTAATATTGTGCATAAAATCCAACATGTTTTTTTCCACATATGTGCAAGTAAAAGTGCTCACGACTACAATGAGACTTTCTTTGAACCACCCATAAAAGAGGCTTATTTCAAACAAGTCCTAAATGTTTAGGAAACGAGATTTTCTTTGCAATCAAATCAAGTTATCAATAAAGGAATGATTATTATTCGAGATTAATGGTACTTGAAGACAGACTAAGGAAGAGAGTCTATCATAAAAAACTTTAAAATTTTCATCTTTACTAATTGTAATCTTTGGAATCTTTTTGACTGTATGTTCAGCCAAACCATTTTCCACACTCGAATAAAAAATGTTCTGGACCTCTTCAAATGTTGTTGTTTCCATAACTCCCATCTGATTCAAGAATAAGGAAATTGTTTAGAAACTCGAAAATAATTTCTGTTTATTTCCTATATTTTGTCAATCAAATAGAATAATACTTAAATTTGAGTAGCACTAAGCATAGCCGGGCCAATGAATTCATGGACAAGTCTACCACTTATAAGGCTTGCAATCACATGAATCTACACAATTTCATAATATTAATCATGTGTATAAAAAGTTTCAATTAAGAATTTCAATAAATAATTAGACCATACAACTAATCTAAAATGGGATGATATTTCAGATAAAGAATGTTGGTCACCAAATACAGTATATATCCAATGCCAGATTCATGTGATTGCCATAAAAGCATTAAAGACTCAAAACACCTCGATTGAGAAAATAGCACCAGAGATGGTACTGCGATCTCTTGCCCGATTAGAACTCCGGGCATTGCTCCTAATAAAATACACACTGCAGTGGAGGAAGTTAACAAAATTCCTTCTTTAGTTTCAATATGAATATAAGAGAAATAGACAAAAGACCCTCCTTGAAAATGAGAATCCCTTTACATAAGTCATTTAAACAGAATCGCGCTAATCGTGCTTGCTCTTGGTAGGAATAATCCGAAATAGAACAACTAAACATTCAAAATCTAACAATCCCGGCTCAACTAAAAATATAAATTTTTCAATTTCTTATTACTTCTAAAAACTGAGGGAAAAGTCCCCAATTCAGGATATCACATTGGCAAATAAATGAATCAGGAATCACAACCATTTTATTTATCAGATGCAATATCGATAAACAATTAAAATGTCTAGAGTTCATTTATTTAGAAAAATTAATGAAAATATCAAAACACAAGCTCATATATGGCAAAGAAAACACAACTAAAGATGCTTTCAAGAAATGATTCCTCATAAGAAAATTTTAAAAAACAAAATTCGAGGCCTATGTTATTAATCAATTTTTCTACAAAATTGAATTGAAAAAAAGAAGAAGAATCGAGAAAAAAAAATTCAGAAAATAGACAACTCTAGCCACCTAGGAACGCAACTTTGACTCTCCACCCTCAGCCGCACCATTGCCTCTGCCATCTCGACCACCATTTCCATGAATCCCAACAAAATCACCTCCGTCTAAAGCAAACGAGGCAGCTGAACTGCAAATGCACAGCAATTAGGACTTGCATAGATCCACACATAAAGGGAGAGGCCAAATTCAATATACAAGTAACAAAGAGAACTTACGAATAACCACGCCAGCTCAGCTTGATATCTCCCTTCACCAAATTATAATGTTCTCTAGTTCATTTCCCATAAAGGAGCGGCAATTTCTTGGACATTTTTAAAGGGTTTGTGCCAAGCACGCAAAATTGAAAAAGGCTTGATTTTGAAGAGTCCACGAACCATCAAAATTAGACAACTGCTTCCATGTCAAAGCTTACCTACTTCAGCAATTGTTAAAAGTGACCATACGTTTCCTCTTTTGGAAGGGAAGTGACCACATATGTTTCTAGCTTTCCTTTAATCCTAAGAGTATTTTCTCTCTCTAGATAAAAATAAAATAAAAATATAATCTCCCGCAAATTCACACACTTTAGTGGTTAAATCCTTTAGTAGTTGATTCAATTTCTTGCACGGTGCAAGAATTAGACATTTGTTTTATATTACATTTAAAATTTCACCCATTGGTGTTGACAGAATCTGTAATAGGCTATAATATATACTCTATCTGTTTAAATGGAAGAACTCTTTTTCACCATGTGTGTATCCCATAGTATAATACATGTAATTATTGTTTATAGAACAGAAAATAGATGAACATATATTTGTCATGAAATTCTTAAGCAAAGATTACAAGAGTAAAATAATTAAATTCTGCAGTTCTAGAAAATCCAATGAGTTAGAACATGCCTTGGTGTCTCTTTAATTAAAATATGGATCAAACTCATGGATTACACTCTTGTACTTAGAATTAATAATTAATAAACAAACAAGTCATTACTACAAATCCAGATTCTAGGGAAAAAAAATAAAAATAAAAATTTAAACCTCTAAAGAACAACATATAACTTTCAAAATTTAAAAAGGTACGGTGCTACAATTTATGTTCCAAGAGAAGTAAAAAAGGTACAAAAACTTTAGAACATGAACAAGATAACAATTTTCACAGAAGATCTAAATAAACATTATGGAAGAAATTTAGATTTATAGGATTCATGTTATAAACAAAAAGAGAAAAGAACAGCTTACCTTTTAACCACACCCGTAAACTTCACAACACGAAACCGAAGAAAATCAACAAAAACTGATCGGAGATAGAGTGAGGAATAAAAAACACAAATCACGAACAACTTACCTAAGGTAAAATGCAACACTGTAGTCATCGATTTAATCGACCAGAGAACACATTGGACACTATACACATAAGAAGAAACGAAAATTTCAGTTCAAAGTTAGGATAATATTAATGGATGCAATTGCTGAAAAAGAACATATTTACAGTTTACATTGGCATCAATGATAACTGAGGAGGCAAGATGTGAAAAAAAATTGGGAAAGGTAAAAGTCTTAGGAAATGGAGAGCAAACTAAGATATCAAAGAATTGGGAGAGACTCAAAAGCAAAAGTCTAGCGTGTGTGAGATGAAATTCAACAGTGAGTGTGGAAAGGAGACTTTCTAGAATGAAAAATGCATAACCAGTTTGAATCATTTGTAGTGTGAACACGAGGCCACACGAATATTTCAAAAAAGGAAAAAGTTAAAAATGAAGCAAGAAATAACACTAAACTGAAGCAAATACTAAATCCACACACCTCAGGTCGCCAGTTTCCTATTTCGGTGCGAATTTTCTGGTTTTTGGGAGATTCCACCAACTAAAAAATAGAATTGTACACACAGGAAGAAGGAAAAGAATATTTAGTTGAAAATATCCAAGAATTGAAACCAAAATAATGAGAAATCGACAGGTACTACAATTATTTTGAGAGAAGAAAAAACCCTAAACTGAAGCAAATCTGGAATTGACGTACCTCTCTATTTTAGGGTGTACAAATTGCAGCAAGATGAAGAAACACGGCGAATCGCAAGAAGATGTAGACTCGGCTTTGTAGTCACCGATAGAAGAGGAAGACTCGGTGCTGTAGTCATCGATTGGATTCTCTCTTTTCTACAATTGACAGAGAAACTGAGGGTTAGCACAGTGTATTTGATAGAGATATTTTTCATATGCAAAGACCATTAAGCCCTCAATTTGTGAATTAGTGTAAAATAGAATTGAAGGGTAAAATGGGAAATCGAAAATGCTTCAAAAATGAACAGAGAATGGCACGTTCACTCTTTTAAGAGTAGAGGGATTTTACAAGTGAACCTATAGAGATTGATAGAAAAGCAAGGATATGGGCTGAGAAACAAAAAAATATATCCAAAGGCAGCACCTTCCATCAAAAATGAAAAATTGGCTATAGAGATTCTGCGCGATCCAATCCAATAAAGGACTTTTATCTTCGAAACCCATTGAAAGGGGTAGTGCAAGAGAAATCATAGAGAAATGATAAACAGATTAATCATTCCACTCCAATCGATTAAAAAATGTGAGAACGAACTAATGGAACAGCAATCTAAGGTCGCATACCTAGATGGAAACTAAGATTCCACTCATGACCCATGTAACGAGCTACACTAAGTAAGAAGTGTATTACTTTTAAAACACATTTAAAAAAAAAAAAAATCATAAAATATATAGTAAAAAATCTACATCAAAAAGTTCTAAACCTTTGTTTGGTGCTCGTTATTTTAAAAGAAAAAGAGTTTTGTACAGTATTTCTAGTAGAATATGTGGTTAAAAAATATATAAAAAAAATTGGATTTACATTAAGGATATTTTATTCTATGAATATATGATTGAAAATGATTTTATAGAATTAGTTTTTTTTTATTTAACAATGGGTACCAAAAAGAGGCTAAATTATTGCTTGTGTGGAATTGTTTTTCTCTACTCATTTTTACCTCCTGTTTGATTTCCATTAATTTTCATTTCATTACATTTCAATTTTCTCTCTCCTATTTTCAACTACATAATATTTCATAAAAATAATATTATAGTAAATAAAAATATTTTTCTTCTTTTTCATCCACTCATTTTTCAAAAAAAAAAAATACTATTTCACACATTTTTATTTCCACAAAATGGGTTCTAAACGGGGGCTTAATTACACATTTTTCAGAAATTATCATTTTTTTAAAATTTTTTCATAATATATATATTTTATTTTATTTTATTCTATATATTCCTAAAAAAAGAGTTGCATAGGTTATTATTTGATGCTATCCCTTGTTATAACGTATGGCGATTGTTGTAGTTAGCAATTGTGAATAACATTATTTAAATAAGTCCATGTTTGAACCACATTTTAAGGAAAAATGTATTATTAATGTCAAATCAATGAAAAATATGTGGTTAAAAAATAATGAAAAATTTTAAGTTTGCATATAATATTATTTTATTGAAAAATGTGTGATTGAAATAATGTCAAATTACTGTTAAATAATATATTTTTTTGAAAATAATGTGACTCAAACAAACTCTAAATAATAGATATTAGTATCAAATAATTATCTATCATATATATGCTACATACGATGATTGTCGTAGCGAACGAATGCGAATAGCTTTATTTTATTTAAATAAATAATTGATAACTCAACTTAAGTCTGAATAGTCTTCAATCAATTTATAAACGTGGTCCCCATTGTCACAATCACACGGTGGACGCCCCCCACGGCCACGTAAACCCTTCCCTTCGAGACCCTCCTCCATTTTTCTCTTACTTAAAGGCGCCATTTGCCAATTCTCTCTTTTCAAAATCTCCCGTAAACCCTTTTCTGTGCCCTAACAGCTTAAAGATACACACTCAATTCTAATTGTACGTAATGAATCCTCACTCGTATATGCAGACGAAGTCGACGGAGCTGGCGGAGACGATCGCTGCCGCTGCGACAGCAGTGCAGATCTCAGCCGCCTGCTCCGCAGTGGAATCCTTCCTCCGTAAGCACGCCCCGGACCAGCAGCGGTGGTTCTTTTCCATCACTTTCCCAACCCTAATTTGTAGAATCTTCGGCTTTGATGAATCCGCTTCTTCTTCAGGAACAAAGCGTACGTCTCTCAGCGGATGGATTGATATCGCGGCGTCAACAGATGATTCTGAGCTCGATGGTAGGGTTTTCTGACTTAATTAAGTCAGTTAGTTGTTCGAATTTTTATTCTCATATTTTATCTTCCCAGAGTGCTAGAATTCCGTTGTTCCCCAACTATCTTTGATTAGTTTCCCTTGGTTTGGATATATTTCTGTATATTTTTGTAAAGATATTTACGATATTTATTCCTCGAAAGTTAAGATGGTTAAAAACGCAGTTACTCGTCCAACCAATAGTGTTGTTTCACTTTGGTCATTGAACCTTTTCTTCCCCCAAAACTTTCATTTGTTCTAAGATTCTATTTTTATAACCATTTTGAATTCTGTAATACATTTACAACATTATAATTAGCTACTATTAGGTTATTTGATTAATTTTGATGTCTCTGGCGTGAGTTCTTCATCAATTTATTATCCCTGCTTTAATATTCTTCATCTACTATATTTCCCTGGTTCACAGGCAAAATTTTCAGCCTACTTTCACCCAATGGAGTGTTGTTGTCTTCAATTTCAGCAGTTGACAGGCTGTCTCTTGTCAAGTATATATTTCCGGCTGAACGATTACCAGAATGGGTTCGGTGCATGCTTCAAATCAAATCTGATTGTCAGGTGTTGACTGACTTGTGTCCCTTATTCAAAAATAAGGTTATGAAAGTTCTGATTAAGGGATCTTCAAATCAGGTTCAATTGAATGTTTTCGAATATTACATGTTTTGGTTTGCTTATTGCCCTGTTTCTAGAGGGAATAGCGAGGGTTCAGTGACAGTGAAGATCCAGCAGATGAAAAAGTTTAGGTTGGATAAGTGGGCATATTCAATTCCTGGTCTATCAAGTAATAAACGTGGAGAAGAGAAGAAAACTGCGACTAGTTTCTATTTAAGGCTACTCTATTCATATCTTCGTTCATTTGTGCCTGCGTATGATTTGAATGTGCATCAACCTTATCATAGTTCCCTACTTCATTACTCCCCGGATTATGATATTTCTCTTATTGAGAGAGCAGAATTTCTGGTTAATACGTTGATCTATTTTTGGTTGCTTGACAATGATTTTTCGCCCTTTCCTGTGGGTTTGTGCAAGTCATTTGGTCTAAGGTTCTCTTTTAGATCTGTTTTGGGTGAGAGTCCACCTAATTCAGGACTGGGTGCTGTGGTAAATGTTTTTGTGAAGTACCTGAATCTGATTTCTCTGCCAATGAAAGATGAGTTCAATCAAATTGAAAATATTGGGAGTTCTAGCTTGGGAGTTCCAGGTTCAGTTAATGTCGTTAAGTCAAGGGATGCTGCTTTGAGTGTGCACTCTGTTGGGTCTTGGAACTCATGGGTTCAGAGGCCATTGTACAGATATATTTTGAGAGAATTTCTGTTTTATCCAGTGGAAACTTCCGTTAAGAATGCATCTCAGGTATTTACTCTCTGGGTGAGTTACATGGAACCTTGGATGATTACTTTTGAAGAGTTCACTGATCTAGATAAGCTCATCGGAATGCCAACAATCAGTTCAGCGGAGGTCTTTAAATCATCGCCACATGGATATTCTTCGTCTTGGCGGGGTTTTGTACTGTTAAATTACCTTTTTTACAGCTCTTTGGTAATGCATTTTATTGGATTTGCGCACAAGTTTCTACATACAGATGCAGAAGTAATAGTTCAGATGGTTGCAAAGGTCTATTCCATCCTGATCTTCCTATGCATTTGTTCAAGCTTCATGATTTAACTTTCATTTGCACTGATAGGTTCTCTTTTGATATTCTGCAAGAGAAACATGGACAGGAAGTTTGATACTCAAACTTTAATATTTTACTCTTTCAATACTATGCATTCTCCAATGGTGTTAATGATCAAGATTGTGACGTGTATTCAATGGTTATGTGCTTCAGTTTTGTTGTTTTACTAGTTATAAATGAAACACTTGTCATGTTGAGTCTTTACTAGCTTCTAAGCACCTTAATTAAACCGTTGTTCTACTTGTTTTTGGACCAAAGAAAGAGAAGATAGAAAGACATTTGGCATGTGCCAATAGATATGTCTTCTTTTTCATTGTGTCTCTTTGTTCAGGCATTTTTTCATTATAATAATTTTAAGGATTGTTGGGGGAGATTAATTATTGTTTCATCAAACTAGTATTTTTCGGGTGATATTGGTTACCTAATAGGCTAACACTACTAATTTTTTTCTGGTTCATGATAAAGTGAAATTAGGTCTAAGTTTGCTTTAGGTGCCATTTTAGTTTTCAGGCATTATAGTATTGCCGAAATGCTAGAAGCTCATAAACTAAAGAAACTTTTGAGTGACAAGGTTGGATTCCTTTTTCTTATCATTTGCAACTTTCTACATGGGACGGCAGAGACTTCAAGATGGAATTTGTTAAAGTTGGTTTGTTTTCAAAACAGTTTGTGTCCACAGCATAGATGCACAATGCATGTTAGAAGAGTAAGAATAAAAGTAAAAATAGCTGTTGGAATTTGACATAGCACATCAAAGGTGGCCAAGTAATTGGAGTAGTTGTGAATCTTGGTCAATCATTCTTTAACTGTTCTTTATTTTCTCTTCTATATGAGTACTTCTGGGCCTTCTTTTGCATAAATCAAAAATTTCCACAAGGGCACTAATATGATGGTCTTCTATGTTGGCTACGTGATCAAATATTCAATTTTCCTTTTTCTTCTCTAAATGTTAGTTTTTTAGTTGCCATTTCTGAAATTGTATCTCCTGATTGAAGTATTTGTGGAACAAATATTAAAATATTACACTTGTATCCAAATGTTAGATTGAGGTTCTAGCTGGCCTAAAATATGAATTACAATTTCTTCCTTGGCTATTAAATACATCTGAACACGGGTATATGTCATGTCAGCCCAATTTTCAGTGAAAATTTTTATTAGTTGACTTGAGTCTGGAATGTACGCGAGGAGGATGTTGATGGTGGATGATTTTTTTTTGCTAGGTTTCTAAGTTATTTTGTTTTTAGTCTTTCTCTAGACACTTCACTTCCCAGATTTATTCATGCAGGTTATAAACATATTAACTTCATCAATGGAGCTAAAGGATCTCATAAAGAATGTTGACACTGCTTTTCATTCGAAACAAGTTGAATCATCTAGGTCTCATCTTAATACCTTAAACAGATTTGTTCCGACAATCCGCCAACAATTACAGGTATTTGCATCTCATTTTCATTCCCATGCCTTTCACCATTCCTTCCTTCCTGTATGTCTCTATATCTGTAAATAAATTTATCAATTTACTTTTGTTTTAGACTATTCTATGAATATATGAAAGTCTCCGAAGAACATTTGTCTATTATATGAAGGAGTTTCAGGTTCTGGCTTTAAATTGATATGTTGGTCATGCATGCCGATGTGATTTTTGTATTAATTCCATTGTGGACTTTGAAATCCAACACACTTGGCATATCAATGTTTCACATCTGTGATATGGACAGTCACTTCAATGAGCTGATATTTGCAGTCCAATCATAGTTTCACATGCATCTCTTTTTCTTGAAATTCTTTATTTGGAACAAGCCTGCAGAGAGCTTATCATTTGTGTCTATTAGAGTTGCGAGACTCAGAAACTCTCAGGAAACCATCTGTCATGTGATTTGTACCAAAAGTGTAATATATCAAACACCATTGTTTGATATTAAATATTTTCTGTGTTTGCTTCTAGTAGCTGAATTCTTTCTTCACGTCTCTGCTTCTTAGGTTTATCTCTTCTTAGTATTTTATTTTCCGTCCCTTCCGGAAGAATCTTAATATATGCATATTGATGAGTCTTGTAGATATTGTGAATCCTAGTGGTCCAGGACAGTATTTCGTTATTTAATAATCCTATCCAAATGCTTCAGGACTGGGAGGATGGCCTATGTGAGACTGATGCGGATGGATCCTTCTTGCATGAGAACTGGAACAAAGATCTACGGCTTTTCAGTGATGGAGAAGATGGTGGACAACAATTGCTTCAGGTTTGATCTTGAGCGTTGTTTGGTTGCAATATGTGCCTGTGTTTGGATAAATAGAGTAATTTCGGCTAACTGCTCTTTCTGCAGCTTTTTTTATTGCGAGCGGAATCTGAGCTGCAAGCAATCTCTAGCAATAATTTAGCTCAGAATCTCCAGTGTCTAGACTCCTTGAAAGCCCAAGTGGGCGTCTTGTTTGGTGGTCCTATTACAATCTCTTCTTCATTTGGAACACCACGTGAATCAAAAACTATGCAACATCAGCAATCACATGATGCAAGATTCGAGCCAAGAAGTTGTTTTGAAACCCGTACTGGGGGTGATATAAAGTACAAGGGCGATTGGATGACGCGACCTATCTCCAATGATGAGATTGCATGGCTAGCGAAATTGCTAGTCAATCTCTCAGGATGGCTGAACGAGTGTCTTGGGTTAAATCGGGTGAACTGCACCCAAGAAGGTCCTGATTGGTCTTACGTGCAAATGTCAGGTGGGGTGGAAAATGTGACCATCAAAGTGGTTTTGTGCTGGCTCCTTTCTTGGATAACCTGGTTACGCGAGACTGGAGTGAACTTTATGAAAGAGCACGGTCTTAGGGTGAACCTCAGAATGCTAGCTTCCAAGAAAGTGGTAGTCAGGTTGTTGGTTATTGCTGCTGCATTTAGTTTGTTCAAGAAAGCTTTTGTAGTGTGGTCATAGAGGTGTAAATATATATGTTTCTTTACATGCGAGTAAAAGTAAAAATGAACATATAATGGTATATAAGAAATTTGTCGTGAAATTTTGCTTGTAAAATTGAAGATGGTTTAATGCTTCATGAAGTATTTTGTTGTCAAGGTGGTGGTGTTTTTATACTTTATTATGCAGGCTAGTATGGTACCGAAACCAGACCGAGCTAATTCTGCTTAAGTTGGTATTAAAAGTTCTGGGACCATAAACCAAAATTATTAGTAGATTGTAGCATTTTGTTAAACTCGAGAAATGCAATATGATTTGAATAATCAAAAACCATTTGAGACTGTTGAGAATTTTTAGATTTTATTAAAAATTGATAAAATACGTGATTAAGAAATTGTGGATTTCATGAAATAAAATATGTTTTTAAAAAATGAATTTTTGAAAATAGGGTCAAGTATTTTCTGTTTGTTATTCTTGATAAAGGCTCATTTTCAAGCTCATCAGAGTTTACACTTTTAACTATAGAAGATTCAGTCCTCCATGCAAGGCAGTCTCAATAGGCTCGAATGAGGGCCCAACCGAGTTCCGAAATTTCCATCCCAATCTCACCAACTTGAGTTAATTTCACAAAAGTCACTGAATTATCATTAAAGTGTATTCTTTTCTTTTATCCATTTAGTGACAGCTAAATATAATAATTATGCACTTTGTTAACGGCCTGTCCAGATCAGATGTGCCTCTTTTAAACCATGAAATCCATCAACAGCTGTTGTGCTCATATTGTTAAAGTACAAATCTTAAAATATAGAACTTGATTGAGTCTCTCTCTTTCTTTTCTTTTCTTTTTTTTTTTAAATATATTTTGGAATAATATTTTAATGGAGAATATATGATTAAAGAATAAAGAAAAATTTTAAGTTTACGTGTAATATTAATTATTGAAGAATAAAATAAGAGAGAAAAAAATATATTTTCAAAATAATGAAGAACAAAATGTAATTCTTGAGAGAAAAATCCCATGTTCAATCAAGAATTACCAAACCACTCTCTTTGAGTTTTAACATCCACTGACAAACCGTGAAACGGTCGGAACAAAATTGAAACATGATGCCAGTTGGAAAGAAATTAGACGCGTCAACATTATTTAATTATTTTGGCCCTATATAACTTTATTCTTTAAAATTCATTTTTCTTCAAAATCATTTTTAACAGCAATCTCACAATAAAATAATTTTGCATCTAAACGCAAAATTTTGTCCACTATTTAATCACACATTTTCGATATAATTATTGCTTACAAATTATGGATGTATTCAAAATCAAGAGCGTAGATATTGTCACGTAAAAATAAATGTGAAGGATAAGCCAAACTGTAATTGCCAATTCGGACTTTTCCTTGTTCCAGTCTTAATCTGCCATAAAGAGAATCAGTTTTCCGTATGCTGTATTTTCAATGGAGTAGGAAGCTGTGGACCATCGCAAAACGTTAGATTTCAAAAAGGTAAAAATGTGAATTTGAATATAGTGCGCTCCAACGTTCAAATGCCATTTGGAATTCTCGTGATGCAAGTTAATTTTCATGTGAACTACAAAATTACAAAAAAATTTGTTGTTTCAACGACAAGATTTTCACTGTCCTCCTATAAAAAGGAAGACAGGGTTTTACGAGTTTTGCACGATCTTTTTCATCATTATGCCTTGTTGTCTACGTGAATTCTCACATTACATGATTCCTTTTACTGTATTTTATTTATACTTTGTGTAAAGAAAACTAGTATACTTTATACTAGTTTTCTTCAGTATTCTTTGTCAGACTCACACCTTGATTGGTATTTTTTTTTCCTCGAAAATCTCCCCACTTGGATTCCAAAATGCAGATGTCGATGGGGGTTATAAAGCTTCTACTGATAATTGTGTGCTTTTGTCTTGAAAATTCACAGGCATCACCATCTGCTTGTTCAGAGGTTGATAGATTGGCTCTTGTTGGTTTTAAGGCCAAAATATTAAAGGACACTACTGATATACTGTCTACATGGACAGGCAAAGATTGTTGCAGTGGTGGCTGGGAAGGCATTGAATGTGATCCGGCCACCGGCCGAGTTAACAAGTTGATGCTGCAAAGCCCATCTGCTGATAATATGAGTGTCCTTATGATAGGCATTTTGTCCCCCTCCCTTGGTAATTTACAATTCTTGGAGACTATGGTGATAAGTGGGATGAAAAGGATTGGAGGAACAATCCCTCAAAGTTTCTCGAATCTCAGTCGCCTCACTCAACTCGTCCTAGATGACAATGCCCTGCAAGGGGAAATCCCTTCAAGTTTGGGTCATTTGTCCTTGCTACAGACTTTTTCATTCAATGGCAACCATTTGACAGGACAAATTCCTCCTGCATTAGGGAACTTGAAAAACCTCCTTCAGTTGAGTTTAGCTAGAAACTCCCTCATAGGTCCTATCCCACCAAACCTTAAGAACCTCATGAGCTTACAGTTTCTTGATCTCAGCTTCAATTCATTTTCTGGGTTCATCCCGGATTTTCTAGGGCAGCTTCGATCCTTGCAAAATCTTGTGCTCACCAACAACCGGTTGTCAGGGCAGATACCCAATTCTTTGTGCAACCTAGTCCAACTTTCGGAGCTGTCAATTGATCAAAATCTGCTCACCGGAAGAATTCCAACACAAATTGGCAATTTGAAGTCTCTTTCTGTACTAAGATTGAACGCCAATCAACTTACCGGTCAGATTCCAGAATCTATTGCAAACTTACAGAACTTATGGCTTCTTAATGTGTCTAGAAATGTACTTATGGATCCATTACCTAATATAGCATTTTCTAAGGGACTCCATTCTCTGCTATCCGTAGATCTGTCCTACAACAGTCTTAATTTAGGGACAGTTCCTGAATGGATCAGAAATAGACAACTTTCTGATGTCCATCTAGCAGGCTGCAAGCTTAGAGGAACCCTCCCAAACTTTACGAGGCCCGACTCCTTGACCAGCTTAGACCTGTCCGACAACTATTTCACTGATGGAATTGCAACTTTTTTCACAAAGCTGTCGAGCTTGCAGAGTGCCAAGATTTCTAATAACCTATTGAAGATTGATCTCTCCTCAATCAGATTGCCTGATCAACTTTCCTTCCTTGATCTCCATTCCAACCTACTATTTGGTTCTCTTTCAAGTATATTAAGCAACAAGACGAGCAAATTTTTGGAGGCTATTGATGTCTCAAGAAATCAAATTTCTGGAAGCATTCCTGAATTCAGTGGTGGGTTGAACTTAAAGGTGCTCAACATAGGAAGTAACAGGATTGCAGGTCATATTCCTAGTTCAATTTCTGACCTGGCTAAGCTTGAAAGATTCGACATTTCAAGAAATCAAATAACAGGCACAATCCCAACAAGTTTAGGATTATTAGTGAAGTTGCAATGGCTAGACTTGTCAATCAATGGGCTTACAGGAAAAATTCCAGATAGTATGCTGGGAATTGAAGCATTGAAACATGCAAGCTTCAGGGCAAATAGATTGTGTGGAGAGATACCACAAGGAAGACCATATAACATCTTCAGTGCAGCTGCATATGCTCACAACTTGTGCTTGTGCGGAAAACCTTTGCCTTCTTGCAAGGGAAAATAACTGGAGAAGATGGTCGGGCCAGTGATATGCTGACTCTGTTTACGCTGAAGGCATGGGATCATCCTATATGATCACTGTCCAAAGGGAAGTTCAGATACACATTTTAATATCTATTATGTTGTAATTTTCAAACACGTGTAACTTTCGCAACTCCTCTCTTAAGGATTCCGTTCTATATAAAATAAACATTTGTCTTAGAGGAGAAGTTCATTGCTTTTGCCACAACATATTAATTATATTCTAAGTTCATTGCTATTGACACAACATATTAATTATATTCTCCTTGACGTCTTGATCCACGTTATATTCATTCTATCATGCATGATGTGGTGTTGATGAGAGAAACAACTTCTTGATGTATGCTATGGAATGTGTTTAGAGTTTGCTACTTGTTCCTGCTGCTGAATAGAAAACTTAAGATTCTATCAAGTTTTGTTAAGCATCTTTACGGCTTAATTTTGAAGTTTCTTGTTTAGGCTTTCTGGTGTTATCATTTAACTCTGCATTCAGTAAAGATCTGCAGTAGAACTTCTGTGCCTCGACTAGAAATCACCTGAACATTGCAAACTTATTTTTTTCTGACTTATTTATCTTGAAACTATTATGCTGTTTGAACTTCTATAGAAACCGAATGTTGTAAAATCATTTCAAAGCAAGTTAAAGCAGGGAATTTGCTGCATCTTTGAATCCCCTTTTAAATGTAACATATTGCTTTCTTTAGATCAAGTTAGAGTGCCGTCACCAATTTGATGGAAAACTAATGTACCCCATCTCTACTTGAGTGAGTTTTGTTGAAGACAATATTTGAATGAACCACATGTAGCCCTTTCTAACAACTTAAGATTTTAAACTCAAATCAGAGTAGATTGCCACCAATTTAAAAATTGTACTAGGCTTCGATGAGAAAATGATTCCTGTCACTTGCTGGGTTGTGTTAATGATACGAATGTAGCCCTAACTAACAGGTTAAACTTCTAAGTCAAATAATTTAACATCTTACAGAAAGATATATTCTATAATTAAAATACCATAATAACAATGTGCTCGTTAGTTTTCAACACTTTCTGTTGTTGATTTGATTTTAATTGAAAAATTAAAATAATGTGATTTGAATTAGTGGAAGTGTTCCTCTTTTAACTTCCAGCAATACAATAGTTTTTCTACATTAATTACGAACCTCGACCGGGTTTTACAAATTATAGTCGAGCGACCAATATATTTGAAGTTGTGTTAGCATCAGTTGTGTTTCTTTCTGATGATACAAGAAAGATCATTATTGTGCACAAGTTTATGTTGCACGAAATTTTAGAACCATATTGCTTGCAGTTTAAATATGATTGAGTAATGTTATAGATACAGGGAGATTTTCACGGAATTTTTTTTTATACATTCATAGCCTAACCCATGTTGTCAGCTGGGCGACTCGAAAGTGTTTTATCTGCCTGAAGTCGTGTAAACCAGAAATGAATTAACATATAGGAAGCAAGACCTACTCCCTCCAATCCCAGAAATAATTGAAGAGAGTTATCTCCAATCACCAACATTGGCATAAAAAAAGTAGGACCTCCTACTACAAATAAGAGAGATGCCCTTAGACCAGTATGGAGGGAAGGGAAAGAAATTCATGTAAGCGTCTTCATTGAGATCAAGGGCAGGGAGGGCGATCGAAGTGAAGGTTCGGATTGGCATATCAAGCGCTGTACCAGATTTTCCTTAATCTGAGTAGCTGCACATTCATGGCTTTGACTATTCCCACAGCCCGCCAATTCTTTACAGTATTTCACATGGCACAGATTCATTGACAGATGACAAAAAAAAAAAAAAAACAACTTTTTTGCAAATCAGGTGCTGCTCTGTAGGGATTCTGTGAAAGAATCCTTGTACTTGGGGAATTGTCCAATACAATTTGCTTTATTTGTTTTTTTCCTAAGTCTCTATTCCCTTGTCTTTCTTTCTCAATTCCCACGCATTCACATCCAATTGACTGTCGATTTTGTGCCGTCATGAGCTGCCCACAGATCTCTCCTCTGTCATTTCCTATGCTACTTGGAACATTTTTCATGGGACCATATTTTTTAGCCATGAATTGGAAAACATGAATCACCAACCAGAAACCAGTTTTCTTGTGATTAAGAAAGAAACTTTCTCTTCATTGATCCCTATACTTCAAGTTGCATAAGCACTCGTAATTTCATTGCTCAATTAATTTGAGCACATTGACTCTTAGACAAACTACATCCGACAACTCATCATTGAAAAGTCGTTTTTTAATTGGCAATATGAATATCTTATTGTACAACTTTAATTCCCATATTGTAGTGGGTCAAAGCAATGTACTATGTGCATGAAAACTTCTCTTAATATCTTTGCCATTTATTGGTCTTACATACCAATGTGGAGCATTTAGCATCATATTCTCACTACCTTAACTGACCCTCCTCTTCGGAGTTATTACGCGAATTGGGTCCCATCAAATTGTAACTTATCTAACTTTATATGCCCTTAACTTATTAGAAAATATTGAAGGGAAAGAAATTCATGTAAGCGTCTTCATTGAGACCAAGGCAGTGAGGGCGATCGAAGTGAAGGTTCGGGTTGGCATATCAAGAGCTGCACCGAATTTTCCTTAATCTGAGTAGCTGCACATTCATGGCTTTGACTATTCCCGCAGCCCGCCAATTTTGTACAGTATTTCACATGGCACGATTCATTGGCAGATCACAAAAAAATTTGAAATGAAAATCGGTGAAATAGTATTTTTTTTAAAAATAAGTAATTGAAAAAGAAAGAAAAATTTTCGATTTATATGTAATATTATTTTATGAAAAATTATGTAATTGAAAATATGAGAGGAAAAAATGAGATGAAATTTGATGGGCTCAAACGTGGGCTGAATATAAAGTTGGTTGGATTAATAGATTTAACCCACGTCACCTCCCACTTTCCTAACCTCTCACAATTGACAATTACCAAACGTAAATCTTAGGTGAAAAAAAAAAAAAAAAAAAAAAAAAAAAACAATTTTTTGCAAATCAGGTGGTGCTCTGTAGGGATTCTGTGAAAGAATCCTTGTACTTGGGGAATTTTCCAATACAATTTGCTTTATTTGTTTTTTTCCTAAGTCTGTACTCCCTTTTCTTTCTTTCTCAATTCCCACCCATTCACATCCAATTTGACTGTCGATATTGTGCCGTCATGAGTTGCCCACAGATCTCTCCTCTGGCATTTCCTATGCTATTTGGGACATTTTTCATGAGACCATATTTTTTAGCCAACATCCATAAATTCTCTTTCTCGGGCTCTGTTTTGTTGCAACCTTGCAGACCTGTCCTCCTCGGCTTTTTCTCTATCAAGTATAGTGTCATCGACCACCTTTCCACTTGATCAAATATTTCTATTTTTTTTTGTCCCATGATTTTCCCGTTTGCTTTCTGGTGACTTACGAATATGTGCTAACAGTAAAAATGTTTTGATTATATTATGGTTGGTGATGTTACAAAAAATTGTACCTAATAGACCTCAAATTGAAAGCTTGAATTTCGAGCCAGGGGTACACGAATGATCTTTTGATACTGAAACAAAAGTAACGAGGTGTGTTCTCATCGCCTCTCCAATGCTTAAGTCAGACGAGGAGTTTGGTGTGTAAGGATATAAATTGGAAGTAATGAAAAACGTACCTGAATAATGAGCCTTGACCACGTATTTATAAGTGTTGGTGGTAGAGTTGTAGAACGATTTAACTACTTGTAGTCTTTTTCCTCATTGGGCAAGGTGTTTGAGTTTCATTCAAAGTATTCCATTTGAATTAGAATCATAGAGGGAATGAGTTGGATGGTTAGGAAAAGGATTAAACGGAATTTCAATTGGAATAGGACATTCTTGTGCTAGATGTCGTTGGTTGGACACAGGGCTTGGTACAAGCACTGTGGCCCGATCAAAATATAAGGCTTGACCTTTCAGTGGCTTGACCTCATAGGTGGCGACATGTGAGAGGTTGAGGTTAGGCTGATTAGGTCAAGTTCAGACACCAATTCTTTGAGTAATCATAGGCCCCTGTGCATCGGAATCACATCTTGTAGGGCAATATCAGCCTGCAAATCTAGATGTAGAGTGGTGTAGCCCAAAATTGAACTTCGTACTCGACAATAAACTGAGAAAGGATGCTTGACAAGTGTAAGACAGGCGTTGGATCAACAAAACACGAACTTAGATGAGTGCCACGTATCCCAACCCAAGGGCTAAGATTAAGTGACCGTTGACATGCGAAAGACCCCTATAAATACCCCCCACCATTCATTTTTACTTTTCACGTTTCACTCTCAACTGTCAGTAAATCGAGCTCGAGTTTGGGGGATAGTGAGTTTGTGAGCAATCATCTAAAGAAGTAAGAGTTTGAGTTCCTAATTTATTATCCGAATTAGTATCATGTCAAATAGTAGTGGTAGTAAGGGGTCTAATGAGAGTAGCAGTAGTTCGAACACTAACGGTAGCCACGAGAACGTAGGTACGTCCCTTATCCCCATGGCAATTCCTGTTAGGTCTTACATTAAGGACGAGGCCGTCCTATCTTACCCAAAAGGTCCCACTAAATATAAGGAGCACGTGATTATTAAGACGGCTAGGGAGTTCGGGCTTATGCCCACGGGTGATATAAAGGCCCCGAGCCTACTAAAACAGTATTAGGAGCTCAAGATCGGGAGATGATATTTTTTACAGATGCCTTTAAGGCCTAGCTTAGGTGGCCCCTCCACCCTTTCTTCATTCATTTTTGATCTATTACTACTTTTGTCTGGGCCAGTTAACCCCTAATAGATGGATGCTGCTAATACACCTTTTTCTTTATCTAGTGTAGATGTCTCGAGGTCGAACCTAGACTCGACCTACTAAAAATGGTATTCAATATGAGATTTTCCCTGAAGTACAACTATTTTGTATATTTATCAATGAAGGGGGGGGGGGTTTAGGACGCTAGAAACCTCGAATTTTCTTCGAGGTTGGAAAGAACGGTTTTTTTTTTTGTTAAACCCCAGGATCCTGACCACCCTTTCAGCCCAAAGTGGGAAATCCCTGACAAAGATAGGTTTAATGATGGGCAGGCTTACTTCGATGTTTTAGAGAGGGATAATTTGAGGTTAGTGAGCTATGACCCCTTGGTAGAAAAGATCAGTTATCTACTTGAAGATGACATCCTCGACTTGGAAAACGTGAGAGGCTTTGAGGGTATGATCTTTATTCTTTCATTTTTTATGTAGCATTATCGACCT